CATTGGAAACTTTAGGTGAAACAAGACTTACGACATTAGATATTGGTGGGATTCCATTGAACAATAAATCACATTTACTTTCATTATACGCATATATTCGATCTCCAGCATTTGCTAAAGTTAAATACTTTAGCATTGATCATTGTAATTTAGATGGTGAAGCATTAGCTTTAATACTTTCTTATATTACCACATCACCAAATTATGAAAATATTAGAGTTTGGGCAGGAGGTAATTTCATAGCGAGAACACCTGCTAGTTGTAAAGAATTTTGTTATGCTGTGCGTAACGATTGGACTCCTGTTTGGTTATCATTGGAAAATTCTCTAATAGGTTCAAATGTAGAACAAGTGGTTGAAATTCTATCATCATTTTGTGAAAATACTGTTATAAAATATTTAGATTTATCAAATCCTCAATTTATATTTAATGCTAATGAATCATTTACTCAAAATCCTCAAATAATGATGACTATTAAAACTGCTTGTGATGTTCTTGGAAGACTGTTTAGAGAAAACAAAAATATTTTGGAATTAAATTTACAAGGTACCGCTGATCGAAAATGGGGTCCTTTTTTGGGTTCGCAACTATCGGGATTGGAGAAGAATACTCAATTGGAAAAGTTGAATATTGAAGGAAATGCTATTGGTGATCAAGGCATAAAATCTTTAAGCGAAGCTTTAAAAGGAAATGTATCGCTTAAAAGTTTAAAAATTGACCAAAATGAGGTAATTATTTGAATGTGATTTGATATTTTACTAATCTAAATAATCTAAATAATCTAAATAATCTAAATAATTTAAATAATTTAATAGATCGGAATTGAAGGATATGTGTCCCTGCATCAGGTTCTAATATCTCGTCAAAACACCACACTTCAAAGTCTCGGATATCCATTTAAAGATTTACAAACTCATGATGAAAATTTGGATGCTAAATTACCAATGTCACCAATTTCTAAAACGAGTCAAAAAAATGCTTTAGAAAAACAAAAAGTTAACTTCAAACAAATAATTGATGAAATTATGTTTGCAATTGAAGAAAATTTGTATAAAGTGTCAAAGACTGCAATGCTTAGTAATACCTTAAAACAATGAATTATGTTTAAATATTTTTTTAGTATTTATATATTTTTTTTTTT